ATATTCAAAACCATGTGCAGATTGCCTTTTATCTGTAAGAAATTAACTGAGCTCTATTGATACTATGTCAAGGTTCTATCCAGAAGACCATCTTCTCAAAACTACAGTGGGATCTCCATGAACTATTAATATCACTGTATTTAATTTATATAGGTCTCCAGCCACTAGCCATTTCATTACTACTTAATTGTGCAAAGCGTTAAATTGTGGAAAGAAAAGCCAGAAGATAGATGCGGATTTTCTTTTTAAAGTGTGAAAAGTTAGCTTCAAACTACTTTAAGTTGACTTAATGTGTATTGCCCATCAAGACCCTGCCTGTACTGGATGTATTGAAGCTCCTGAGACGATCGATCTTGAACCGACGTACTATCCTTACCATTCCTTGGGTTGTAGAATTCCTCTCTCTTGTGGACCATTTTGCTCCATTCCTTGACTACTATGGGAGGGTATTTTCCCTTCTGCTGCAGCTTTACAGGTGAGACACTGAGCAAGGGCTCCTGTATTTGCTTGAGAATGTTTCTTTGTAGTGGTGATGGGAATCCCACTCTTCTTCCAAAGTGGGGCTGTGCGGCTACTTGGTGGTCCTCAGGTGGGACCGTTATAAAAATCCCTTATAGCTGTAATAGGGACAGAAGGATGAAGTCACTTGTATAGAAACAAAAGAAATACTATGTTAAAAAAGAGCCCGTTGCAAGCTTTAGGAAATTTGACACTTGAGTGGACCTGAACCAGGGAGTTTGCTAGACGAGGGGAGGTCAGTGCTCCCCTGCTGGCTGCCCTGCTGTCAGCTCCGCTCCTTGGGGTTCCCAAGGCTGGAGTCCCGCTCTCCCCCCCGACACCCTGCTGCCTGCTTGTTGCCACCAGAGTTCCCCAGGCTTCCGGCCTGGGCCCCGCTGCCACCAGGGGTTCTCCTGCCAAGTTGCCCAGCCGCCACCAGCCCCACTCAGGTGCTGCTGGCCCTGCTGTCTTTGGGGGAAGTCCTTGGGGCTTCCTGGCAAAGGCTCACCTGCAGCCACCTGGCCCTGCTGCTGCAGGGAGTTCCCTGGCAGGGGCCACCCAAGTCCACCGCCAGTGGGGATATTCCCTGGCCCTGCCTGGCCCCAGTGATGCCTGGAAGTTCCCAGGCCAGGTCTGCCTGGCCTGCTGTCACTGGGGATTTCCTAGGGTTCTCTGGTCAGGGCTGCCTGGCTGCTGCTGGCTCCACTGCTGGGGCCAATCCTGCTTCTGCTGGGGGTTCCCTGGGTTCCCCAAACTGGTGTCGCCTGGCTCCACTGCCCATTGGGAGTTGCTTAGTGGGGTGGGAGCTCCCCATTCACCACCAGGCCCCACTGATTAAAGGGTTTGCCAATCAGGAGGACATAGGCTCCCTAGCCACTCCCTAGCTGCTGCCTGGCCCAGCTACTGCTGGCTCAGCTAGGGATCCCCAGCCCTGTGTTCTCCTGGCTGGCTCCCACTTCTGGTCTCTGGAGTTCTTTGGTCCAGCAACATCCTGCTGGACCATGGATGTTGCCAGACCAGAGAGTCTCAGATTTGGGAGGTTCAACCTGTATAGAGTTTGATTAAATATATATAACTTTCCATGTGTCTTCACTCACAGCGTGCAGCTGCCAAATATAAATTTATAAGTCCCTCTGCAAAGTTCCTCACTGCCCAAATACTCTCAATTCTTCTCATCTCCATCAAAACTAAGGCAAAGAGATGGGATTTGTAGCATGTCTTACAGTCACTGCAGGCCAAATGTACAATGCATGTTGTACATTATTTGTGTGCGGGATAAGATGCCTTACTCAAAAGAGCCTGAGATCTAAGGTAGACCATGCATGGGACAGGCCAGGGAGATGGAGAGCACGAAGACAAGTTATAACAAGAATATATTTTTTTAATCTGTCTTTTCTACTGCCCTTTTTCCATGGCAGAGGCCTGGTTCTTTCTGAAGAAAAGGAGATGAGTTTTCTGAACAAGCTACTGATACTTGCAGTGCTGGGCTGGCTCTTTCAGGTACAGTAGCTCAACGTGTAAATGACTGGAGAAGTGTGCTGAATATAAATATAAAATAATTGAAAAGAAGATAAAGTGAGATGAAAATAAATGAGATCCTTTCTGTAGAGTGGGATTTATTAACACTCCTGTATAATTTAATAAAGATTTATAGCCCTGCTGTAGAATTCTGTAGGCTGTTTCAATGTTCCTCTAGAGAAGATCTCATTGTCTAATCAGTTCCATAGTTTATTTCTGTAGGTCTCATTGTCATTAAACTAGATAGTATTTTTCCTCAAGAGCAAAGGAAAATTAATTCCTGCCGAAATTGGAAATGGTCTTGCCGAGGCAGTGTGCTGAGTGCGGTGGGGAGGTGGCAGTTCTTTACGATAACCAACAGAAAACTTGCTGATTTAAAACATGACATTGAAACCCCAAAGGGAGTCCCACTCTGTGCTCAGCAGAACGTTGCCTGTTTTAATGGAGTGAGTGAGATCAAAGCGGGAGGCTGGGATATGTGAAATGGTGGGTAATAAACTCACTTGTATGGAAAAAAGCTACCTTTGGCACGGTGGGCCTGGCAGAGAATAGAAGACTCTCTGTGACAGAATATGGTTTGGTTTGGTTTTGCTTTTGCTTTTGACTGTTGAAAGACTCTCCAAACCCAGTAGCTGGGGCTGTGTTTCACTTACTGACTGCCCATGAATGGCGATTGGGGGTTTGTTTTCCAGGTCCCCTCTGTCCCAGAGGAGTTGTTCTTCACCAGTGAAATCAGATGGGAGGGGCTGACCAGGGACACTGTGACATCTGCTCAGGCTTTGGTAAGTTTGTGACAGCAGCTGCTTTTAATGTTTGCTGCTGCTTGACTGAGGCATGTATGGCCTGTAGATTTCAATATTGAAGCCTGTGGACTTCAACATTCTATTTAGTGGCTTATGTGCTGAACAAAGACTCTATGCAGCGCTTCAACTTGTCTAACTGATCAGATTGCATTGCATGCTGGGACCTGTCTTCTCTGTGGTTTGGACCTCAATATTAAAGCCCAGGCAGCTGCAATCTGCTTCTTTGATGCAAATTACCTCTTGGGGCTTTTGATAAACCATGGTGGTGCTTTGCCAAGGAGACGAGTACTTGCTAGAGCATACAAGCATGTTTATTTAGAGACTGAGCTAGGGATGTAAAATCCCATTTAATCAATTAACCAGTTAAATGTCAAGTTTAACTAGTTAACCACTTGTATGTGTGTGAAGCCTGGCTAGGCTGGGGCTGCACTGGCTGGGCTGGAGTGCCCCTGCCTGTAGCATACTGGACTGGGCCTGCTGCAGACAGGGGCTGCTCCAGCTGGGCTGGAGCATCACCACCTGTGGTGTGCTCCTCCAGATGGGCTGGACCTGCTGTGGACAGGTGTTGCTCCAGCCGGCCCCATCAATCTGCTTCAGCCCCCGCCAGTTATCTGTAACCGGTAAGCATCACATAAGAACATAAGAATGGCCGTACTGGGTCAGACCAAAGGTCCATCTAGCCCACCGACAGTGGCCAGCACCAGGTGCCCCAGAGAGGGTGGACCGAAGACAATGATCAAGCGATTTGTCTCCTGCCATCCCTCTCCAGCCTCTGACAAACAGAGGCCAAGGACACCATTTTATCCCCTGGCTAATAGCCTTTTATGGACCTAACCTCCATGAAATTATCTAGGGTCTCTTTAAGAAGAGAAGAGTGATGCTTACCGGTTAACATTCATATCCCTACTTTGATCTGCTGTTGATAGAGTATCCCCAGTGCAGAATAGGGATGTGAAAGGCTAACCAGTAAGCATCACCCTTAACGAGTGATGGTTACTAGTTCTGGTTAACTGATTGGGGGGGGGGGGGGCTGGAGCAGTTCCCTGCCCGCCCTG